TCGGCCGGGAGTGGTGAGTGGGACCATAAACAAGCACTATATCCCGTACCGCGACCAGCCCACACACAGCCCAAACCGCTGCCAAACCGGCCCTGATCACGCCGGCCGGGAGGCTGCCGGGGCGCCCAAACAGTCCCTCACGAACGCCACACGGGCCACCACGGCCCGTCCGGCGGCCCGAGTGCCGCCCCACACCCGCCCGACGCCCTCGGCCAGCCAGCGCCCACTCTGAGAGGCTTCACCGCCGCCAGCGCGCCGAGCGCGCCGCCCTCTCCTCGCGCCACACGGGCCCCTGGCCGCACGCCCGAGAGGCGGCCCATAATTTGAGTCGAGACGCGCCGCCGGCCAGCCAGCAGCTCGCCCGCCACCCGCAGAGTGCCGCCGCCGCCCCCAGCCCGCACTGGAGAGGCTCTCCCGGCCGCTAGCCGCTGTCGCGTCGCCCGGCGGCTGCGCTGGCAGCGTGGCGGTGAGGGCGGTGGAGGAGATGGCGGCGGCGGGCTGGGCGGTGGCGGTGAGGGAGCTGGCGGCGACGGGGGCGGGGGTGACGGTGGCGGCGGGCTCGGTGGCGGCGGCGAGGGCGGCGGCGGCGAGGGCGGCGGCGGTGAGGGCGGAGGGGGAGAGGGCGGGGGAGGGCTCGGCGGTGGCGGAGACGGGGGTGGTGGCGAGGGCGGCGGAGGCGAGGGCGGGGGCGGGCTCGGAGGCGGTGGTGACGGGATGGCGGCGAGGGCGGTGGTGGCGAGGGAGGCGGCGGCGATGGCGGGGGCGGGCTTGGGGGCGGAGGGCTGGGCGGTGGTGGTGATGGTGGCGGAGGGCTGGGCGGCGGCGGGGATGGTGGCGGAGGCGACGGCGGCGGCGGCGACTGCGGGCGCGGGCTTGGCGGGGCCGGGGAGGGCGGTGGTGGCCAGGGAGGTGGTGGCGATGGCGGGGGGCGGGCTTGGGGGCGGGAGGCCTGGGCGGCTGGTGGTGAATGGTGACGGAAGGGCTGGGGCGGCCGGCCGGGG